CTTTGATTTAAAAATATGAACCAAAGTGTACTACCCAGCTGCTTGGTCAGGAATTATCAAACTTCGCACATTACAAAAAGGAGGAAAACACACACACACACACACACACACACACACACACACACACACACCACACCACACCACACCACACCACACCACACCACACCACACCACACTGAATGCAGGTTAAATGAAACACACAGACCTTTTAGGGCACAAAGAACACAATGTAAATTTGCATCAGATGGTGGAATATTTAGTGTCTGTTAAAACTTCTGCCTAATTTAACTGTAGACATATCTTTAAAAACTCTGTACTCAAATGTGAAATCCACAAGTAGGCTGATGAAATCTCAAAAACAACAACTTCTTCAAATGGTGTGAGTGTGTGAGAGCAGAAGCGCTACTGAAGTATCTGCGACGTGTTGATACTAGGAGCAAATGTAATGAAATTCCTGTTCTTCTCAGGAGATGACAGATCGACACTTGGATCACTACGGACGAGCAGTATGGAGATATTTCGTGGTTTCAATTATGTGTTTTTTGGACGTTTTAATCTGGGACGCCCCCGCCTGCATTAGGTGGAGTTGTGCTGCTACCCCCTCTCCCCTTGGATTTCCGTAAGGGATGTGAGGACTCTAAAACTTCACCTGAGCCTTCCTCAGCATATGGGTGAGTGAATAATGGCTGAATTTTCATTTTTGGGTGCACTATCCTTTTAGTTCACCTACTTGACTGCGCATGGGTGGCTTCCATAGAAGACAAAATAACATCTCCAGGCGTCCATGACCAAAAATCGTTTACCCACGAATTAATTAATTTTGAAATCATTTGACCTCAAAATCGATTAATTGCACAGCCTTATTTCATAGTAGAGCTTCGCACAGCATATTGACTTGATCATGAGTGTACTGCTGCAAGAGCTCTGTGCCTGGAACGGAATAATACTCACACAATGATGGGGCTGACTGTTAGCATCACACGGCTAAAGGCCCTGATGCACCAAACCGACAGTTGGCCATCAGCCAATGTTGGGCCATCTGTCGCCATAGTCTTTGCGGTGTGTCCTGCAATGTTGACGTTTTTTAATTCAGCTTGTTGAACATGTTGGGGATGGTGGAGCATGTCAGTAAATGAAATCACTCTTATCTGCAGTTCAGCTCAGCGCACGAAAAAAGAAACAGAAGTGAGGAATGTAAACAAAGAGCTAAAGTCAAGAGGGAGTGAGACCAAAACAAACTTGTTATATATGGTAAGATTATTTTTCTTTAGCCATTGGTTTGTTATTGTTCACTTATGCATGGAAAATATGTTCTGATCTTTCAATACTGGATTGTGTTGTTAAAGTGCTAACTGGCTAATTGGCATCAAAACAGTCCTCTGATTTCCCTTTGTTACTGAAGATTACAGATGACTGCCATCTGCTCATTTGGAGAGATATTTTCTCTCATGCAGGCAAAGAACGTACGTGCTGGTTGGCAGTCAGCTGTAGTCCTTGTGGTGTGTTCATGTGCAACTTTTTGGCCAAGTTAGTAGACTTCGATGTCAGTTTGGTGTGTCTGGGCCTTTTACATTACTCAATGGTTATTAAGGGGTTTAAGGACGGAGTCAAGCCATTTTAACATCTGTATGAGACTGTTGGGACCGTTAAATGGCTCTGTGTTGGATGTTAGCTGCTGCATTAGCTCATGCTAGCCGTTCACAGAGAGCAGGTGGAGAACAGCTCACTGAGACAGTTCTTCAGCGCTGCTCCAAATGGCAGCAAAACCTGATCATTGGCGATCAACTGTTGCTGCCCCAACCATCACAAATAGATTCTAACTCCGTGGAAAAGACTGAATGCTCATAAT